TCCAAGGAGCGGGAATTACAGGCATGCGCTACCACACCCGGCTGATTTTTTTATTTATTGTAGAGATGAGGTCTCGCTGCCCAGGCGGGTCTCGAACCCGTGGGCTCAGGCAATCCACTCACCTCAGCCTCCCAAAGGCACAGAATGACAGGCTGAGCCACCGAGCCCGGGTTAATCTTATTTTTATTCAAGAATTAATCCACAATCTTGTTTGTCCTAAAATGTTTATTAACTGATGAGACCCTTGGCTACATTAACAAGTACTGATTAAATTTTTTACGTTTAATAGACTTTTTATGCGACTTCAACAAAGATTCAAGTTATTTTGTAAAATTTTTTCTTGTAAGTTGTGCAGTTTTTTCATTGTCAGAAATGTAGATATAACAAATGTCTGTGTTTCACAATTATATATTTTAGAAATAAAAGTTCAATTTTAAGTTTTTCAAACATATATTTTTAGGAGAATCTTTTTAAAAATATTATAATTCCTTAAATATAGTGATCTGAGAATAGGCAGGCATTCTTACTGCTTTTACACCGGTAGATTTGCCACCCTTTCATAACCCCTCTAATTTTTAAGTTATGTGACGTGATTGATTAACCTTGACTTTTCTCCCTGTGCTTGGTTTTATAGAATCTTGAGCTCAGAAAATATATCTCCAGGTTCCCTGCAGTTTCTCTGACACACACAAGATGTAATCCACAGCATCTTCCATTTAAATGATCCTTCATTTGGGCAGTCAAACTGAATGGTAATCATTTTAGACTTATTAGGGATGCAGCATCTCTTATCCAGGCATATCCCACAAAAAGTGGGTTTGTAACTCTGAGTACTTGAGCATCCAGAAAAGACGAATTTTTCAGCTTTGGAGAGCTGGAAAGTAGGTTGGCATGTTTTTCCCTTGGGGATCTGAAAAGATACATAAAATTAAGTCATTCTTTAAAGTCGATTACAGTCATTTAGAAAACTGATATTGCATAGAACATTTTATAACCCAGGCATACAGATATAATTATTTTGAAGGCATTAATAATGGCTGCTGGGTCGTGACTTCCAGCACCTCCTCTTCTCCACCTTGGCACCCCTCTCACCAGAGGTCTGTTCCCCTATTCATACTCTGTCATAGTACCCACTCCTCAGTGCTTTCTGCTATCTATCCTTTAATCAACTTCATGTTAAATAAACATTTCTGTTTTGTTTAATATCAAAGGCCATATCTTAAATGTTCTTGAACCTAAGACTTAGCAATTCCCTAACAGCTTAGACAGTTTAGGGTGGATGAGTTAGATGAATAAGTATTCTAATCCCTTTAAAATTGACTTGTTAACTTGCTAATTTGAGAGGGAGTAACGGGGCTGAGAAGGATTTTGTAGCATTTCTAAAAATTATTCTTTTGAGACAGACATCTTGCCTAGCTCAAGAAATAAGACCTGCTTTAGTTATACCAATCTTGGGGTAAATATTTAACCATAGTCTTTAGCAAGTTACTATCTCAGCACAAAGCATTTTGAGAATGGTGTTGTCCCCCCTCCAAATTCATGATCTATAACTAGGATCAGAACATCTCTACTTGGATGCCCATGATACCTGTTTTATAATTATGGTGTAGCAACCAAAATCTTTGATTCAATGATTTGATGTCACTATATATGGGAAAAAAGAAGTTAGAAGCAGAAAAGGATCCACTGGTAGGGACCAATATACTTGGAGGGGGTCGCACAAAAAGTCAGGCTGATCAAACCCATATTACCAAGGCAAAAGAGTGTCTAGAATTAATAGGTTAACACTTAACTCTCTGCTTGGTAAAACTCACAAAGTAGATAAATTAGTGTCTGTTTTTCTCTGAAATAGCTTGGCTTTAAGAGTTATAATGATACCTGAGCTCAGGGGTTCGAGACCAGCCTGGGCAACTTGTGAGACCTCATCTCCAGAATAAATCAAAAAATAAACCAGGTGTGGTAGCACACGCCTGTAGTTCCAGCTACTTGGAAGGCTGAGGTGGAAAGATCGCCTGAGCCCAGCAGGTCGAGGCTGCGGTGGCCATGCGTGTGCCACTGCACTCCAACCTGGGCTACAGAGTGAGACTCCAACTCAAAAGGAGTTATAATGAGGTGGTTTTATTTTTCTAAGAATCAAACACTATTCCTCCCTCCAACACACGCTTTCTAGGAATCTCTTAATATTGAAGTATAATTAAGGTAAATCTGGTTTATCTTTACCTTAACTGTCTTTAATACATTGCTGTCACAAGGCTGAATATAACACAATCTTTTCTCATTCCTCATTTCACAGTTGCTGTTTTCATTGGTCACTCTGTTAGAAATTCCCATTCCACATGTTCTGGAGCAGGGAGTCCACTTGGTAGCTTGTACAAGACACTTTTTTTTCCAAATAAGTGGGAGATTTATGTATGCTAAAATTAAGGGAAAAATACATCTGTACACATACATACATACTTGGATAGATAACTTTTAATGGTTTTAAGTTAGTATTTAAAAGATCTGAGCTGGGCTCGGTGGCTCAGCCTGTAATCCTGCGCTTCGGGAGCCTGAGGTGAGTGGATTGCCTGAGGCCGCGGGTTCGAGACCCGCCTGGGCAACTTGGCGAGACCTCATCCCTACAATAAATAAAAATTTAAAAATTAGCCAGATGTGGTAGTGTGCGCCTGTAGTTCCAGCTACTTGGAAGGCTGAGGCGGAAGGATCGCCGGAGCCCAGGAGATCGCACTCCAGTCTGGGTGCACTCTAGACTGGGTGACAGAGTGAGACTCCAACTCAAAAAAAAAAACAAAAAAAACCACAAAAGATCTGAATCTTTTTGTTTTTGTATAATGTAACTCATAATAAAAAGAAGCTTATGGTCTAACTCATCACTCCATCTTCCATTTTCCCACACCCCAAATTATCTTTCAATCACGTGTTATAGTCCAGTTTCTTAGGAGTAAAAATAACATATCTTTGAAAAACTGGATAGATTAGCCCATTTTCATCTTTCTGCTCAGCCTGTCCTCTGAATCTAAACCTAAACTTATGTTCTGATTGATGTATGTTTTTTCCCCAGGTTCTTGCTGCATTATATTTCCAACAATTAATAAAATACACATTAGTAGTATTAGGGAATTCAAGATACTGATCAGAACAGTATGTTAAATGTCATGAGATGTTAGAATCTAAAATACAAACATTTGAGAATAGGACTATCAACTTGATGTTTTCCTCCATGTGTTGTAATCTAGCCTTTTAGAAAATTCTTTAATGAGTTAAAGTAATATTACACTGAACTAAACTAAATGATCACTATATGCTGAGTCATTGCAAATGTATAATGTCACTTAGCTTGTCACATTCCCTGTGCCATCAGGTCCATGATACTCTCCAGCTGACTAGCCATTTTATATCACTTATGGAAAGACATAGGGATTGCATGGATGAGTGGATCTGTGAATGGGTCAGTGAGTGGGTGGACAGAGTCCCTCCATTGCTGCTTAGAAAAGGGTAAACAGAATTCAAGAGGATATAATACTTTCTCCATGTCCATGTAAAGGCCCTGGGAGCTTCCTGTTACACTCATGAATGAATTCGACCCTTGGTTTATTTTAGGCAGACTACATGTTGGTTTATTGTCTCAAGGCATTTTCTTAAGGTTAATGCATATCTTAAAATGGATGCTCTGGGAGTAAGGTAATTTGGGTCTGTATGGCAGAATTCTGGCTATATTCCCTTAAAATATCAATTTAAAACTCAGAACTTAAGACCCAGAAAGATGCCTTCTTTATAGGAAACAGTTACTTTGAAGTGTGTGAGGTCTTTGAATAAAACGATTGTGGATTCTGCTTTCTGTGTTACTCCAGTGGATCCTGCACTTTCACATGGAATGAGGGAGCGGCAGCAGACGCATGAAGATGCCTGGAAGGCAGGCAACAGTGTCACGTGGGAAGCAAGTGAGAAGCCTGGCCCACATCTGCGGTCAGCAGAGGTGGGTGACGTCACGCATGATTGGCAGCCCCACTTGTCAAACCAAGAGCTGCAGTTTGGAAGTTTAACTACAACTTGGTTTATAATTTCAGAAGTTTTAGGCGTTAGCAGTGTCGACTGAATAACCAGGCACAGTAAATGCAAGTTCATTAGAAAGCAAGAAGACAAGAAGAGACTTTCAAAGTAGAAGCTTAGTGCTTGGTGAACACTGGGGGGAAAGCACATAGGTGTCATGTCACTGCAGGCTTCAACCTGACCCAGCAAATGCTGGTTCCAGCCACAAACCCATATCACTTACTATCACAAACATATCTTAAATTTTGTGTCTTATCATTGGGGCTAATTCTAAGGCCAAACTCCTGCGTGGGCTGTAAGTGTTGTTTCACAGTTAAGCAGAGAAGAGTCATTAGACTGAATATAGACTTCCCTTTAAACACATCTAGGCCTGAAAAATACCGGAGAGCACTTGGGAAGGTTTTTTCTTTTTATGTAGCAAAGCACTAGCTACTACAACAGGTCATCTGATGCCTCCTCAAACCAGGCTCCAAGTGAATCCTCTAAAACTGCTCCAGATCCACAACAGAGAGTAGCCGGAGCTTGATCCAAGGGGCTTTACTTGGGGAAAACTGCCCTAAGATAGCACCCTCCAGAAAAGCTCATGTATGGGTTCTAAGAAGAGCCTTATATTGAGACACGAAGATCCCATATGGAAAATCAACTGTTTCTGTGTCGTTTGAAAAAAGAACAACTTGGTTTATAATTTTAGTAGTTTTAGGCATTAGCAGTGTCAACTGAATAACTGTGTACAGTAAATGCAAATTCAATACAACCTGGTCAATTTTTTCTAGTTAACTGACATCATCGGAGTCCCAAAGAATGTTCTTCTCAGAGTTAGTTTTCAATTCGCTAAAACTTATTTATCTGATCATAATTGGGGTTTTTTGTTTGTTTGTTTGTTTTGAGTTGGTGTCTCACTCTGTCGCCCAGACTGGAATGCAGTGGCCGCTCCCGGCCACCGCAGCCTCGACCTGCTGGGCTCTGGCGATCCTTCTGCCTCAGCCTTCCAAGTAGCTAGAACTACAGGTGCACGCTACCACGCCCGGCTGATTTTTTGATTTATTGTAGAGATGAGGTCTCGCCTGCCCAGGTGGGTCTCGAACCCACGGGCTCAGGCATTCCACTCACCTCAGCCTCCCAAAGGCGCAGGATTACAGGCTGAGCCACCAAGCCCAGCTTGATTATAATTGTTTTTATTAAACATCCACATGATAAAAATGAATTTAGGAGTCTTTAACATATACAAATATTCTGTATTTCCATGGCTCATTTTACTAATCTCTAAACAATTAAAAAAAAAAAAAGGCAGGCATTCTTGATTTCTAGATGAAAACACAGAGATGTGAACAGAAACCAGACATCAATCCAGCCCCTTTGAGTCCTCTCTCTTTTGGACTTCATTTGCTGGTGATTCTGAAACTCCTGTCCTCAACATACCGTGGAACTTAAATAAGATGCTAACTTAGAGCAGACAAGAATACAAGGTTTATGAATATATTTAAGTTAATTGCAAATGGCCAAGTGCTCAAGATGAACAATAAAGAGACACATTTTATTTTTTTGACCATGTACATACGTGGGTAACCCACTCAATGCTTATTTCTGTGTGTGTTGAGATAGAGACATTAGTCATTGTTGAGCTTCAGTTTATAATGAGTGGAATGGCTTTATGTGATTTCTATTTTTAGAAATGATATTTACAAGTTCAAAGTGTATGTCCTACGTATTTTCAACCAGTAGCCTTGCATTTCCACTTATCTCATACCGTAAGGTTGCCCTTGAAGGTTTAGGAGACTGCATGGTCAAACTTCTTGCTCATAACAGAACAATACTAACAGAAGTTTTCCAGGATACATATGGACAGTATTCAGTCAATTTTCCTGAGAAGAGACTGGGAATCAGAAGAGGAATAAAATTTTAGAAGAGCTTCCGGACCTAGTATATCTTTTAAAAATAGTTTTAAATATTTTGTAAAAATCCAAAACATGGCCGGGCTCAGTGGCTCAGCCTGTAATCCCAGCACTTTGGGAGGCCGAGACAAGTGCACTGCCTGAGCCTGCGGGTTCGAGACCCACCCGGGCAATTGGGCGAGACCTTGTCTCTACAATAAATCAAAAATTAGCCAGAAGTGGTAGCGCGCTCCTGTAGTTCTAGCTATTTGGAAGGCTGAGGCAAAAGGATCGCCAGAGCCCAGCAGGTCAAGGCCGGAGCCCAGCAGGTCAAGGCTGCAGTGGCCGGGAGTGGCCAGTGCACTCCAGTCTGGGCAACTGAGTGAGACTCCCAACTCAAAAAAAAAAAAAAAAAACTCCAAAACATTATGTTTCCTTCTCAGATACTTAGAATATACCTGCCTGAAGCAAAGACCAAGTAAATGGTACACCCAAACTAAATCTCACTCTAACCACCAGTCAATAAGTACTTACTAAGTACATATGATATGCAAAATGAAAGAAAACTGCCAAATACATACATTAAAAAGTAGGTTTACTTATGAGCACCTGGCATTGAGTAGCTTGCTGAGAGCTGCTGTAGTAATGGTCCCAGGCTGCAGTTGGATTGACCAGACTTCTTTCCACCTTTTGCTCCAGAGCAGTGACTGTTGGCCAGCTTTGGTATGAACAGCGGCATGCATCCAATGGCCCCACTCACACAGAGGCAGCTAAACAGGGGGCTGGGCTGGAAAGCTTGGCCGTTGTGATAACGTACACTGTTGAACTCACACCCAACTGCTACAAGGTCTGAAAAGAGAAAAGAGCAACGTCACCAAAGAAGCCGTCACTTGAGGCCATCTAGGCCTCCGTTAAAAGCCTCAAAAGAAACAGCTCTCCTTCTTAGGTCCCATTTGGGCCCTCCTTCACAGGACATCTATAGAAAGATTTAGATGAGTCATTTTCATTATACTGTAGGCTGTAGACCCCACACAGTCACCTCTAGATTTAAGGCCAATAAAGGCCTGTTCTGGAACAAAGTTTATTTGTAAAATCACCAGAAGGATAGCAGTTGATGATTATGCATCTATGACATGGACTGGCACTGGTTAGACGGGGTTTCCCAGGTATCCAACAATAAGCCAGGATGTATTCTTAGGATGACAGGATAAGGAAATGTCTGAAGAAACCATAGGGTCCCCAGTTTCGTTTGTTTAGAGAATTGGAGGAGACTCTCACTTCCTCTGAGAATATCTTTGAGCTTCTGGATCAACTGTTCTCCAAGTGCAGCCCACTAACCCTTGGCAGTATCTGAGAACTTCAAGGGATCTTTTCAAGATACTATCACGGGGTTGGCCCTTTTCACTGTGTTGATATTGGCACTGGTGGTTCAAGAGCAGTGGTAGCTAAAACTGCTGGCACCTTAGCACAAATCAAACTGTAGGGGTGGTGTATTTTTCCTTGCCATGTTCTTAAGAAAAAAAAAAAAAAAAGACTAGTTTTGCCTAAGAATGTCCTTGATGACACAGTAAAAATTACTAATTTTATTGAACCTTAACCATCAAGTACAAATCTTTTTAATAGTCTGTGTGACAAAATAGAAAGCATGCATAGGACATTCTGTACCAAAGGATGATAGCTGTCTTGAGGAAACTTAAAGAACTATACTTTTGTTCAAGTTGTGAGCTGAAGCAGCCACTTTTTAGTAGGAATTTTACTTGAAGAAATGACTGACAATAAACTGTGGTTATTCAGACTTGGGCATTTCGGGAACATTTTCTTAAAAATGAACAAGGTGAACCTGCCACTTCAAAGAAAGCAATGACTGTGTTTTTTTGCCAATGATAGGACTCAAGCTTGCAAGCAAAAATTAGAATTCTGGAAAATTTGTATCTACCACTGAGATCTTTATGGTTATCCAATATGTAGACTTTTCTGATGAGAGTGATAATAATTACTGTGATTTTAAAATATTTCATAATTAAGTGTATCAATACTTTGAACATCTGTATAATACAGTAAACCAATATTTTCCAAATAAACAATGCATAGAGTGACAAAATTATGCATGAGTAAAAGACCCACCCCAAATGGGTCTTGGTTAGGCCAATGTGCTTTTTTGGTTTTTGGTTTTTGGGTTTTTTTTAGCTAGTCACATTTAGCAATGGGAGGTTACCTATAGACTAATGCATTTTAATGACACAGAGTTGAAAGTTAATTGATGTGGTTTCAGATTCTATTATGCAGCTAAATTTTAAGAAACTACCACTTGTCAAGTTTTAAGATACTATCAAAAAAGTATAGTCACAGTTATCTGAAAAGCCTGTCCAAATATTTCTCCCTTTCCAATTACATGTCTATGTGAAACCAGATTTTCTTCATGCATTTCAACCAGAAAAACCCATAGCAACAGATTGAAAGCAGATGCAGATGTGTGAATCTAGCCATCTTCTACTGAGCTGGACACTATGTAAGACAATGGCACTCACCAAATTTTTATTTGTTTTGGAAAACATGTTTTTCATAACAAATATATTATTTCTATTAATTTGCAATGCATTTTATTTTTAAATAAACTAGTAAATATTTTTAAATTTCTAACCTACTAAATATCAATAGATAAAATCCACATAAAAGCTCTTGTGTCCTTGTTAATTTCTATGGCTGTAAAGGAGTCCTCAGACTAAAAATGTTTTAAATGTTCTAGAACAAGGATGGGCAAATTTTCTGTAAAGGCAAACAGTAAATACTATAGCCTTTGCAGGTCAGAGTGTCTCCGTCAGGACTGCTGACTCTGCCACTGTGAATCAGCCATAACTTCTTGGCAAGTGTATGAGCTGCGTTCCAATAAAACATTATTTACAGAAATAGTGGGCTCAATGGTGCCCTGGGCCACAGTTAGGGACCCCAGCTATAGGCTAGCCCCTTCCCCATCTGTGCTTTGTCAAAGCCTCATCACATTTGGTGTGACACAATGTGTGGAAAAATCTGGCACATTAACCTTTGATTCTGCAAGGGCAGAGCCATTATTTCTTTTAGCCCTGCTGTGTCCCCAGCTACTGGCCATGGTGCCTGACTCTGTAGTGGATGCTGATTCAGTCAGTGAAATAACCTGCCCAGTTCAGAAGAAAGGGGTCTCCTTAATGCCAGAGTCTTTGATAGGCCAGGTTTTTTCCCATAGAATTCTCATTTTTTTTTAAAAAAATTGTTAAAAGCCTACTGCATACATTGCATGTCAGGTATTATGCAAGGTGCTTGGGGTTTTAGATCATGACTTCATTTGATCTTCCCAGCAACTCTACACTAGGACATCCATATATGTGATATGACCAAGTCACAGAGATATTAAACAACTTGACGAAGGTCACTCGGCGAAGCAATCAAGATTTGAACCCAGGTCTCACATTCCCAACCAACATAGTAGAGTGCTGACAGAGGCATCAGGCTACCAGACTTGAATGGCTCCACACATTCAGTCTGACTCCAAAGAAAGGATCTCATTTCATGCTCATAACCAAACTTCTGGTACTAATTTGCCTTCCCACTTGGGTTCTTCCACAGAGTGACTCAACTGTCCATGTGACATGAGTATTTCCTTTAAAAAATAAAAATTTTATTTTTTATCCCAAGAAATTTGGCATCCTGAATTAGGGTCAATGTATTATAGGCTTCAATGATCTGAATCTGTCTCCAGAGTTTAGACATATAAGGCTAAGGTCTGGAGTGACCCACCTTCTTTTTTACAAATCTGCTTCAGTAAAAAACACAGTGACTTGAATGTTAGTTGTGAAAGCTGAGGTCAAAGTAGTATATCTAATTATACAAATTCATATTTTTTTATTTTTTTATTTGAGTTGGAGTCTCACTCTGTCACCCAGACTGTAGTGCAGTGGCCACTCCCAGCCACCGCAGCCTCGCCTGCTGGGCTCCGGTGATCCTTCCGCCTCAGCCTTCCGAGTAGCTGGAATTACAGGCGCGCGCTACCACAACCGGCTAATTTTTTGATTTATTGTAGAGATGAAGTCTCACCAAGTTGCCCAGGCGGGTCTCGAACCCGCGGGCTCAGGCAATCCACTCATATTTTTAAACAAGATTTTTAGTTACAGAAAAGGCTGAATTCCGATTATTTTTTATAGTATTAACAACAACCATCATTTTGTGGCACTTTAAGAGACTCCATTTACATAATTTGTCCTATTTTTCATCTTTAAAAGAACTACAAGTTCAGTGCAATGAAAATCGGTTCTCACATGGTAGGTACCCAATGCAATGGAGCCAGTTCCGCCAGTATGTGAAAACTAAACCCACCTCATATTTCACCAAACTAAACTGATCACTCTAAGTTAACAATTGCAAGAAAAAAATCCCACCAGGACTCAGCAGGTCCAGAGGAGGACACTTACACGCACACACTCCAGTCTCGTACCGAGGCCGGTCTGCTGAGTAGTCACAGTACAGTCCCTTGTGTGGGTCACAGAGGTCAGCTTCATTGCAGGTGTCCCCGGGTTGCTTGGCACAGATTTTACAGCATCCACAGCCGTCCCTCACCAGGCTCACTCCGGGAGGGCAGCTGGGCTTCCAAGGGAGGCATTTGCAGGGCCAGTGACAAAACTGCCGGCGCTGATGTGCGCCTGCCACTTCTCCAGGCCTTCCTTCAGGTGTCGCGTCTGACAGCCCCATGCCCTGTGCTCTGCAGCAGAGCTGAGTTGATGATAAAGGTGGCGTTAGAAATGGTTTTTCTCTATTTGCCAACAGCATATCTGACAAAGATTTAACATCCAGGATCCACAAGGAACTCAAGCGTGCCCAATGGGCGAAAAAAAAAAAGCAGGCAAAAGAGATGAATAGACACTTCTCAAAAGAAGATGTAGAGGCAGCCAACAGACACATGAAAAAATGCTCAGCCTCACTAATTATCAGAGAAATGCAAATCAAAACCACACTGAGATACCACCTAACCCCAGTAAGAATGGCCATCACTAATAAAACAAAAAACAACAAATGATGGCGAGGATGTGGGGAAAAGGGAATGCTTCTACACTGCAGGTGGTAACGTAAACTATTTCAACCTCTATGGAAAACAGTGCTGCAATTCCTAAGAGAACTAGAAATTGAACTTCCATACAACCCAGCAATCCCCCTTCTGGGAATATACCTGGAGGAACTCAAATCACTCTACAAAAAAGATACCTGCACATGCATGTTTATTGCAGCCCTATGCACAATAGCAAAAACAAGGAGCCAATCGTGCTGCCCATCTTGTTTTGGAACCAAGAAACACTAAGTTCTTGGTTCCAAAACACCTTGAGATCAGATCATTCTTGATCTCCCCCCTCATATTTCACATCTGATCCTGCCCACCAATCCTGGTGGTTTCACCTTTAGAATCACCTGCTAACCGGGCTTGGTGGCTCAGCCTGTAATCCCGTGCCTTTGGGAGGCTGAGGTGAGTGGATTGCGTGAGCTCGCGGATTCAAGACCCACCTGGGCAGCGAGACTTCATCTCCACAATAAATCAAAAAATCAGCCGGGCATGGTAGCGCATGCCTGTCATTCCGGCTTCTCGGAAGGCTGAGGCGGAAGGATCGCCGGAGCCCAGCAGGTCGAGGCTGCGGTGACCGGGAGAGGCTACTGCACTCCAGTCTGGGCAACAGAGTGAGACTCCAACTCAAAAAAAAAAAAAAGAATCACCTGCTGAGGCCATGTCTTAACCTCCCTCCGCTGATCTCAAGCCCCCATTGTCTCTGGACTAGGTTAAAAAAATGTGGTACATATACACAATGGAATATTATACAGCCATAAAGAAGGACAAAATTATGGGCTTTGAGGCAGTGAATTTGGAGTCTATCATACTCAGTGATCTATCACAGAAACAAAGGACTGAGTAACATATTCTCACTCATAAGTGGACCCTGAACATTTATCACAATATTACAAGAGAAGGATTGGCAGTAGCAGGCCACTGCCCGGGGCAGGGTACACATAACATCAATAAGTGTGCCTGATCTCAAGCCAGGCGAGTGGGGACCAAAGGGAGGCACAAACTTCACCTGTGCAATGATTTATGTACCCAATCCTGACTTATACCCCACATCTTTAAAATAAAATTTAAAAAAAAGAAATGATTTCTCTGTAATTTCAGTGGTAGACTAGGAATAGAGGATTTCCTCAATGGGTAATACCTGGCATAGTAAGTTGTAACAATAATAAAAGTATTGCTGTTGCTGTTTGACACGATCACTTTCTCTTTAAACTAGTCTCTACTAGGCCTCTGAATTTCTTCTTCCTCCCTGACTACTCCTTCTCAGATTCCTTTGGTCCTGCTACTGCCAATCCTACTGTCAGTCCTTTGCTGGGGTCTTCTCATCCTCCTAACGCCTAAACACCAGAGCCTGAGGTTGAGACTCTAAACTGTCTCCCCCACTAGATCTCATATCCCACCCACACATCTCTTGAGCCTGACTCCGCCCACCTACTTAACATCTCACCAGTGGGCAATCCAATGTCACATGACCAGTGGGCAAATCCAATGTCACATGACCAAGAGCAAACACCCAAGTGTCCCCTCCTATGTACTTCTCTATCTGAGCAAACCCCAAGTTCTCGTTTCCAAGACATCTTAAGGTCAGGGCATTCTTGATCTCCCCCCTCACATTTCACATCTGACCCCCCAGCCAATCCTGGTGGTTCCACCTTTAGAATCACCCACTGAGACCATGTCTTAACACCCTTCTGCTCCCGTCTGATCTAAGCCCCTGTTGTCTCTCATGTGGACGATCACAGCACCCTCCTAAGTGCTAACAGTGCTTCCCCCTCTGTCCACGCAGCAACCAGGGAGTTCTTTAAAGTGAGTCAGTTCACTCTGCTCACAAGGAGCTTCTGCATGACATGATGACCTTTGATTCTGTGAGGAACGGACCTGAATCTTTTCCCTGTTGTGTCCCCAGTAAGATCCAGCCAGTCCCCCAAGGCCTGCACCACCACCCGGCCCTACCCCACTTTGCCCACTGTCACCCATCCTCTGCTCCGTTCTCCCCTGCCTCACCAGTCTTCTGGGACCATGACTGCTCTGAGTGGGTTCTCCCCTGGCATCTCCAGTGCTCATATGTCCATGGCCCTTAGCATGCAGACTCCTCAGCACGGCTCCTCTGACCATCCAAGAGAACCTACCCAGCCTTGACCCCATAGGACTCTACCTGCCCGTACATTTTTGTTGGTTTTCTGATTTCTACATCAAGAGTTTGAGCTTCTTGAGAGCAAGATCTTTGCCCAGTGTCTGTCTTGCTGATTGCTGTAAATATTTATTAAATCACAAGAACACGGGCATCCCATGTGCCTCACACGGTCATCTCATGCAGCCTTCACAGCCACGGTGTACAGTGACCATTATGCCACAGGATGGGCAGAACCATGGTTCCCTCGGACGTCTGTGTCCTACACAATAAAGGGGACTTGGTAGATGCGACCAAGCTAGGGATCTTGAGGTCGTCACCCAAGGTAATCCCAAAAACAGATGAGAGTCAGAAGACGTGACGACAGTGGCAGGAGCCATGCTTGGGGACGGGGTCATGACCGGGAAATCAGACAACCTAGAGAGCTGGAAGCCCAAGGGCAGGCTCTCCCCACGGCCCTGAAGCCCTGCAGCCCTGTAGGCACTTGGTTTCAGCTCCTAAGACCCATTTCGGACTTCAGGTAACCAGCACCGTAAATAACAAACTTATGTTGCTTTAAGCCACTAAACTTGAGGTGACTTACACCACAGCAGTGGGAAACTACAGCCTATTTTACAAATGAGGACCTGGGCTCAAATTATTTAAGCTTTTCCTAGGGGACACGTCAAGTCAGTGGTGGAGGAGACTGAAACCAGGCAGGGGGCTCCCAACCTCTCATCCCTGCCCTCCTGGCATCTCAGCCTCCTTGGCATCTCAGCCTCCTGACCTCTCACTCTCACTCTCTGACCCCTCACCCTCCTGACCTTTAACCCTCCTGACTTCTCACCCCCACTCTCCTGACCTCTCACCCTCCTCCATTCCTAGTCCAAGCCCTACTGCAACCTGCTTTGATAGAACACATACCCTGACTCCCTGCCTCAGTTTCTCCAGCCTAGACCTCCCTCCTTGAGCTTACAACTCATCCCTCCAAGACTCCATGAGTACCTCAGTCTCCTCCTCATGCCCACAAGCTGCCCTCAGTTCCTGTCTCAGTGGATGGGTCCCAAGCTGGGAAGCCGTAAGCCACCAGGATCTCCTGACTCCCTCCTCCTCCACTCCTGGACTTGTGGCTTACAGGAAGGCGGAGGCTCCAAGCACATATCCAGGCCTTCCCACCTCCTGCAGGCCTGCTCTCCTTAGTTACCATGGGTCACCCTGCCTAAGACTGAGCCCGCGGTCTGTTCCTCATCACTGTAAGGAGCACGGAGATGACAGCCCTGGACTTCCTGGGAAGGAGCGGGAGGAAAGGAAATACACAAGTGTTGAAGCAGCAGGAACAGCGAGGATCTAGAGCGGGGTCCTCAAACTTTTAAAACAGGGGGCCAATTCACTGTCCCTCAGACCGTTGGAGGGGCGGACTATAGTTTAAAAAAAAAACTGTGAACAAATTCCTATGCACACTGCACATATCTTATTTTGAAGTGAAAAAACAAAACGGGAATAAATGTCCTTGGTGGGCCGCATGTGGCCCGTGGGCCATAGTTTGAGGACCCCTGCTCTAGAGCCCTAAAATAATTCAACTCACAAGGACTGTGGCCCCTCTCAGCAGTGCACGGTTCAGCCGTGGCTGCTCGTGGCTCAGATGCCAGGTTCATGGCCTCAGCTGGCCTCACCTTTGTAGAATCTGCAGTCCTCCTCCCACTCCGCACTGAGGCGGTGGTCGACACCCCTCGCCCTTCGTCACCCTGGCCCTCTCAGCCCTCTCCTGCTTCTTCACGTTCTTCCTGAAACTCCCTCGCGGGCCCCTGTTGCCCCGAATTGGACTTCGATGTAGGCCTATTGGTGGTTCGTGACCCCTTGTACTTTTCTCCCCACCATGGGTCACCTCAGCCACCCCTTGCCCTCAGTTTCCATTCTGCACAAGATTCAAGACTGAGTTTCCAGTGCGGACTTGTCCCCTGAGCTCTAGACCCACGAGTGACTGCCTGCTGATGTCTCTACCCAAACGTCCTACAAAACAAACTCAGGCCCAAAATGCATTATCATTCAAGTCCAACAGCCCCGCCAACTCTTGAGTCAGGAGACCAGGTGTCTTCAGGGTCATACTCCTCTTCCTCACTTCCCATGGCCATTCGGTGACTCATCCTGCTTGTCCTGCTTCCCTAATATCCCTAGAACTAGCCACTCCTCCCATTTCACAGCTACTGAGAACGACTGCAACAAGCTCCTATCTGGGTTCCTCCCTCAAGAACGACATCATGGGTGTATTCTACAGAGCTGCCGAAGGACTTTTGTCAAAGATCAGATATGGCCTCATTCCCTCTCTCCTTAAAGCTATCAGTAACTTGCTACTGTCTACAGTGGACTGTTCAAGCCTCGGAGCACGGTATGCAAAGCCCCCTCAGCTCTGGCTTATACCCACCTCTTGAGCCTCAGCTCTCAATGTGTTCTCCTTTGGTGCCTGGCCACTTGCTAGACTCCCAACATTGCTTTTCTCCTTCCTGCTTTTCCTCTTGTTGCTCCCTCATAAAATATCCACTCCCAAAACTGCCTACCTGGGATGCCTGTTAATCTCTCCAGTTTTGAATTATTTCTAGACCATCTCTGATGTCAAAAGTAACACACCTGAAATCTAAGGATAGAGAGAAAATCAGGACAGTAGGCTGGGAAAAAGGGAAGCATTACATACAGGAGAAGAACAAGAAAAATGAGAACTGATTTATTAAAAGGAAGAAGAAGAAGAGGTGGAGAAGACGAAGATGCCCAAAGATAACAATGAAAGGAAAAACAAAAAACCCTGTCTGCCTAGTATAGTATATCCGGCAAAAGGTCATCAAAAATAAAAGATTTCCAGATTATCAGAAACTGAGAGAAATGGTTATTAGCAGATCTGCTTCCCAAGAATTACTAAAGGAAGGTCTTCAGTCTGAAGGGAAATGACAAGATAGTAAAAATCCTGGAAATACCAAATATTTGGGTAAATATAAGGAATGTTATGTTTCTCTCTTTTTTCCAGACATATTTTTCAGAAGTGAAATCTCAAGACAAGAGTCATTAGAATGGTGGTAGAAAGAGCAAGCATCAGACGAGAGACATGAGGTTTAGGAGAGCTCTGTGATCTTAGATGACGTCCCATCATTGGATCTTTGAGCCTCAGTTCTCCTCTGTAAGATGGGATTAATAATGTCTACCTTGTATGGTTGTTTTGATGATTAAGATAACAATTAAAGTGCCCAGCAGAGAGTTTGACCCACAGCAGATGGTCAATAAATGATAGGTATTACCAGGTCCTTCAAAAAATTCACAAAAGCAAAATTAAGCACAAACTAACACTTTCTTCCTACACTAAGGACATGAGTCCTGTGTTTGTTTTTGTTTATTTTGTTTCTGTGTTTGTTTTTGCTTATTTTGACCACATATCTCTATGTGGGAGTCTTTGCTATTTAAGAACACAGCATCCCTCAATTCACAATGCCTGGCCCTTTCTCAGGAATGATTGGAACAGGAGACAGACAGTCGATCACATGTCCACTGAGGAAGTACGTCCCTGAAATATCACATGGCCTGAACCACTGACATCCTTCCCACGATCCCTTCAAAACCACAAAATATATATGCAAACATATAGACTATCTTTACATATATAACGATTTTTATTACCTTGTTTTCTATGATACATTTCCCGCTGACTGTCCCACCGAACTACTAATTCACAGACGTGCCTGTGTTTTTCTAAATCACCAGAAGATTTCAAAAGCTCTGTCCTCCGTGCCAACAACCTCCTCCACTGTACAAATAAATCACCAAATCAGCCACCCTGTTTTAATCTTATTTAAAAATACCAAGGCAAGGAATTTCTCATATTAAATTAAACTTCCCTTTGGCCTGTTGCTTGGAATATTTCACAGCCTCTGTGGACTGAATCCCTTTCATGAAGTGAGAAACACATGGATTGAGGAAAGACAGAGTCATAGACTGTTTTAAAAATTGCAATGTTTGTTTCCAAAGTATTCCTTTCAAACAAGGACAGGCTTGAATGAAAAAAGTTGCTGTCAAAAATCTGTTTTTCCAGGGCCCTCTTTGCATGTTTGCCAACAGCCGTAGAAAGTCCAGCCCACAGCCCGCTGGAGACCCCCATCCTTGTGCCCTGCCAGGCTGCACCCCAGACTCTCCTGCACCCCAAATTCTCCTGCAGGAGCACACCATGGAGGTGGGCTGCACGCACATAGCCGCAAGACCTGGGCACTACTCCCTGAGAGGAGAAATGCTCTTCATTCCTTCCAGGAAGCCAAGGACCTGAAGCAGAGCTTTATCTGGGGAGGAACACAGCCACCTACTTCTGAAAATTTTCCACAAGTCTTTTATCCTCCCTTTGCCCCCAGTCTTTCTTATTCCCCCCCCCTTTTGGCCTGAAACACAAAGAGGGAGAGTGAGGAAGGGGCACACGTACCTGTGTCAGGCCGGGGAAGAGGAGACTGGCCAGGAGGAGGCCCCGCATGCCGCTGCGAGTCAAAGTGCGGAGGGAGTGCAGAGGCGGGAGCTGGCTCTCGCTTGGGCGCACAAAGCCACCCTGTCTCCTCTGCACACCCCACGGCTGCTCCAGGAGAGCACACACGCCTCCAGCTCCAGCCACCCACGGGCAGCTGCGCCTTTCGTCTCAGGCTCTGTTTGGACACCCTGTCTATTCCATGGCCTCGTCTCACACCCGCCCTCCCAAGGAGTGTGTCCCAGGGCAGGAGGGGGTGATGTTTTCCTCTGGGCCTCAACAGGGTGGATCAAGCGGCCACTGTTCTCGGAGCCAGCGTGCCACCTGCCTCTGGATAGCAGAGCCTGTCTTGGGCAAGAGGTGGCATTCAGGCCTTGCCTCCCCACTCAGCACCTCTGCCTGTGTCCGCCCTGCCCCAGGTCCTCCCTGGATTCTTCCCCCGACTTGTCCCTTGCCTGATCTCCCCCGCAGCACCCACCACAGCTCAGCGTTAGGTTTCTCCTCACATCAGTAGCAGGTTTCCGTGGGACTTCCCTGGCTCCACCAGCACTGACCCCCTATGATGTCCCTGTCCCGACCTCTCTCCCAACACGTTTTTCACACCAGGTGGATTGTGATTGGAAAAAATATGAGGGAACATGGGTGGACTCCCATAGTACCTGGCCTGAAAGACATCTCATCCTTCATGACAGATGACAATAGAGTTAACTTCAATCTTTCTGGGCCTAAAATCAAATGATTACAATAAATAATGCAATCAAGCAATTATTCATTTAACCAATTAAGATTTTTTTTTTTTCTTTGAGTTGAAGTCTCGCTCTGTCACCCAGACTGGAGTGCAGTGGCCGCTCCCAGCCACCGAAGCCTCGACCTGCTGGGCTCCGGCGATCCTTCCGCCTCAGCCTTCCAAGTAGCCGGAATTACAGGCGTGCGCTACCACGCCCGACTGATTTTTTGATTTATTGTAGAGATGAGGTCTGCTGCCCAGGCGGGT